TTGCTGTGGTTTTCATCAGTATGGAGATACGAGATGTGGATGGAGTGGACAGATGGGAGGGATGGTGAACGGAGAAACGCAGGATGCCGGACAGCCTGAAGTGTGGGAGGTTACTGGAAGGAAGCAAAGGGGGAGGAAGAGCAAGATACGAAGTGACATCTCAGCCCTAAGAACTGCCAGAACGCTGCAGAAGTCAGAGCCGAATCACTGAAGAGAAAAGGAAAAGGAACAATAAAATTCCTAAAAGACGTGTCTCAAAATACTGAGCCGAAATAAATCAGACGAATACCGTGACCTAAAGTCACTTTTTAGAAAAAACTGGTTTCCGGGTCAGTGGTTTGGATTTGCCAAAGTATTTTGGAAAGCTAGCAAGGGCAGTTATAACATTTCCACATGACATTTCCTCAGGTAACCAGTAAGTAAATAAAGAAACACTGTTTTTTTTCCCCTCATGCCCTGTGAAAGCGGTCTGGCCGACTGGTTGGTCCATCTGTCCGTGCCTGTGGCAAAACCTCAAGGCAAATGCTCACATATACTGTACATCACGCCACCTGTGGGAGAGCAGTTATTTCGTTCCACACAAACACAATCATTTTAAAGTCTGTGTGCACATTTAGGTCCATGTGTACCACAATAATGGCACAGGTCTAAAGATGACTCCAACCTGTAGCGATTATTTTCTGGCTTATCTTTTATTTGTGAACTGTGATGAGAGCTGGGAAATATCAAGTAAATCATCTTAGTGACTGGTGGGCATTCAAAGATGCAGTTACACATTCTCTCCTTCACTTTATTTGTCCTCAAGTTCTGCACAGAAATAAAACAAAAGCTCTATCTGGCCTTTTCTCTTCTTCGCCTCCATAGGCCATCAAAATTGACAGGATGCTAAGAGCAGCTCAAGGTTGAGAGCAGCCTTCACTGAAATGATTTTGCCACAGATTTGACAGCCCCCTATTGTTTTCTGTGTACGTAATATGAAATCCTTTATATTGGGGTTAAAGTCACAACATTAAAGGCTGAATTTAGTAAATTGATGCATCGCCTTTTTCACAAGGTATTTATTTGCAAATGCAGTGTAGTTGTCAATATCATTGTCAACAACATTTAATCAATGTCATTCCAGTGTTGTTATTGTTAACCAAAATTAAAGTATTAAAATAATTCACATTATTTGAAATAAAGATGAAGTCAAATAAAATATAAATTATGAAAAACTTTAACTTTTTCCTTGGCAAGTAACTGAAATAAAATAGGTTTAAGTACAAAAATTACTAAAAAAAAAAAAAAAAAATCAAAAGCTAAAGAGAAATATAAATAAAATAATAATAAAAATGAGAAAAGCACATAAAAAAACAAAATGTCAGATGTTGGATAAGTGCTTTTGCTTTAATAATACAATAATACATAATACAATTAAAATGTATTATGTGTTTACTCACATTGCCTTTGTTTTATGTTGTATTTCGTTTAGATATACACAACAACAGAAAAAATTAGGATGAGGGGCAAACACTTTTTCCCAGCACTATATACAGAATATGTACTATAGCACTATATATCCCTGTTGAAGAACTTTACAAAAAAACATGTATTTTCATTAGTGTATTTGTGCATCTATAGATGAATATGTTTTATAATCAATAGAGAACACCATAGTTTTACTTTTAATAAATGCATTACAAGAAAAAAAATGCAGTGCTTCATTTTGCAGTAAAATTGAACTGTTTGGTATAAGCATGATAAGCATGTGTTTAGATGGTTAGATGGTTTAGAATGTTAACTGTTTTGAGAGCAATCACATTACTTTGGAGAAGTGTCAAATCAATTGAGAAAAATTGTAAAAGGAAAGTTCACCATAAAATTAAAATTCTGTAATTATTTACTCACCCTCAAGTCATTCCAAAACTGTAACCGTATGTTTTGGAACACAAAATAGCAATAAAAATATTCTTCATATTATCTCCTTTAGTTTTCCATGGAAAGAAACAGCAGCAAACATTTTTGAAGGACATTGGAGTGAGTAAATTACCAAATGTATATTTTGGAGCAAATTACTCTTTACATTTACTTGTTGTTTTTTTATATATACATATTATCTCTAAACTTGCTTTCAGAAATTATAATAAGCTTCTGTTGATCACTGGAGCTCTGGCCCATGAGGATCTATTGATTGTTGCTGTTGAAATGGCAGGGAGTTCAAACATTCTCAAAGCCTATTAGAGACACATAATTTATACAGGAGAGCTGATGCACATCCTTTGGAGTCCCAAAAGTAAAGCCTTGAATGTAATGCGTGTGTGAGTGTGTGCGTTTGAGTACAGGGAGAATCTCTTAATCTCTTAAAGGCCTCTGTTTATCTCAAGTCTTTTTAAGTTTATCTTAAATTCATCTCAGTTTCTAAGTTTTGAAGTGCAGTCCATAACTATATGACTTGGAAGCTAACAAAAGTAATACAACAAATGGCTTCAAAAATACCAATTTCTATGATGATGCTCTCAAAATTTAAAAGAAATTCGATCCGTAAGGGGCAGTCTAAAGATTTTAATCATGCAAAATTATTTCAGACCCCGTAATAAGGACAACAGGATATGATGCCATGCTCTAGAGCTTATGTAAATATTAAATATAAAAGTACTTTCTCTCTTTTTTTGGCAGGTCCAGTTTTTTTTATCCCTTTTAGTAATCAGTTCCATCTTTCTTTTTTCTCTCACCACCAATCCACTTTGCATTCATCCTCTCCCCTTATCACTTACTCTTGCTTACATCCCATTTTACCTCAGTAATCCTCCTTTCGCTCCTTCCTTCTGTAAATGGGAGGGAGGTCACTCGCTCTAGGTGGCAAATCCCTCCACTTCTGTCCTGGACTGATGAGGAGTGAATGTCTGTAATGAAGAGAGACACTTTCCAGTCACACAGTAACCGAACTAACCACTGTAAGAAGGGGAATTCGGTAAGTCAAAAATATTAGAATTACAGTAGAATTAAAAACCCCCAGTCTAGAGCAATGAGCGCGCATGGCAACCAAATGGTGCCGACCGATTCACAGAGCAGAATATATACCACCTGAGGACCAGCTTTTGATCAGTAGAGTGTTCGGTGTCAGAATGGGAAAAGCTGCCAATTTATCGAAGTTTGATAAAGGACAAATTATGATGGCACGGCACCTTGGAACTTCGATCTCGGAAACAGCGTGCCTTGTGGGTTGTTCACATGGGTTGTTGTGGTGAGTACGTATCAAAAGTGGTGCACAGATGGCCAAACGAAGAACCGTCGTCCAGCCGTGTGTCATCCGCAGCTCACTGATGCCAGAGGGGATCAGACACTGTTCACAACGACTGCAGGGCCAAGCGCAGATACACCGATTACCAACAGAGGATGCACTGTTGGGTGGACACTTCTTCTTAGGACACTTTAGGCCCCATTATCCAAATAGCACAATTCCTGACAGCTGTCAGGTATCTGAACATCGTTGCGGACCAAGTGCACCCATTCATGGCAGCTGTGTTCCCTGCCAGTGATGGCCGTTACCAACAGGATAATGCGCCATGCTACACTGAAAGAATTGTCGAGGAGTGGTTCGAGGAACATGATAGTGAATTTCTGCTAATGCCTTGGCCTCCAAATTCAGCCAGTCGAACATTTGTGGTTCGCGCTACAATGTATGGGAACTGGAGGACCTGCTGTTGACATTATGGTACCAGATCCCCCAGAAGACCACCTTGTTGAATTAATACCTTGCCACATAGCCACTGTTCTGTCGGCTAAAAGAGGTCCTACAGGTTATTAGATAGGTGGTCATAATGTAATGGCTCATCGGTAGCAGAGCCATTCAATGGATTCAGAATTAATACATATATTTAAATCTAAGCAGAGATTTTGATAATCTAGTTTATTTCTGATATTTTTGTTTTGGCCATTAATATATATATTATTGTTAAGGGCTTTTCCAAATCTCTAGTTGTTTCTGTGACACTTCCTAATTGCTTTCTATTGATCCAATGCTTTGCTGAGCTGTTTCTATTTATCGCTTTGCGCGCTAAAATCAAGAGCTATAAACTGCAGATACGCAGTAACTGAAGGCAGGCTGCCATTATCTCAGTATTTGGGAAGCGTAATCCTACTCCTCCACTGCACAGTATACATCCTGCTCGCCCTGCGAGTGTTTTACTATTCCAGACGCCTTTAATGATCTCTCTCTCTATCTCACCCATAATGCTGGCCTTGCCCAGGCTGGTGATAGACTCGCCGTAGTGTCTGCGGGGCTGTGGAGGGGAGGTGCAGGGGCTCGGGAGGCTCTCCGTATCGGACACAGAAGCACTTTCCTTTGACGGATTAAGTAGAGTGGGACGGATCTGGTCATACGGTGTGGGGCTGCTGGTGTTGTACCTAGAAAAAAGCAATGGTTACATGAATGTACAAAAATATATGCATTGTACATTATAGAAACAGATGTTTATTTGCTTACAATATTTTTCTTTGCATACAATATTTTTTAAATAAATATTTATATATATATATATTTTTTTTTTTTCAATTTAACTCTTGAATTTCATTTTTAAATTTATTTAGCGAAGGCATTATTTTACTCACCAGTGAATCTGGACAGGTGATATATTACTATAATGCTTCAGGATGAGAGGCTCCAACCTGTATGCCTAAAAGGAAACCATTTGTCTTTATTTAGATTATTATTTATATTTCCTGACTGATATTCAGATATTCTATCTTTGATTACAATACCAACTATATTGGACTATACTGGGGGGAAAAAAAAAACATTGTGTAGAAACAATTTTCACTGAGAAATTACAAGTAAATTCCGCAATTAATTTCAAAGAAATGATAAGTAACACATTAAATTAAATGTGAAATTTTGACGTAGAAAGACTGAAATAGGGGTGGGGCAATGGAAGAACCATTTTTTTGGGTTCCTTAAAAAACCTTTCAGTAAAGAGTTGTTCAAAGAACCATTTTTTCTTAGTGTGAAGAAAATTTTTATAATCTAAAGAACCTTTTTCCACTATAAAGAGTGGAATGGAAAGGTTCCATAAATGTGCCAGTAAAAAAAAAATTATAATAATAAAAAAATAATATATATTTTTTAATATGTTTAATAAAAAAACACTATTTTTAAGAGTGCATTTGAATTATTTAGAATTTAGGGACCATTTCAACATATTAGAGCTAATTATTAATATTATTACATGTATTTTAATGCTAGAATTCATTTATAATCAAATTATTTTATTGCTAGACTAGGTTTTGTTTCCCACTTGGCTCATAATAATATATATGGACCAGTAACAAGAGAAATCTGATCATGGGCTATATTTACACGGCAATCTAATCACACTCACTACAGGATCCGTGGGATGAAAGATGTTGAAAAGTCTCTGGCAGATGGATTTGGGGAGGAAGTGGTCCTGTGTTCCGTTGGTTCCAGGACGGACCCCTCGCAAAGCCAAAAACACAGCCAGAGGAGATCCCATGCAGAAGAAGTTCTCCACCTACACATCGCACGGTTTATTGAATAAGACTAACACAAACAGGAGGGGAGAAGGAGAGAGGAAGGGTACAGTTATACTAACGTACCTTGAATTTCAGGGCTGGAAAGGGTTTTGAGGATGAAGTTTGTAAATGCCGAAGCGTATCTTCCAAATCCCTCATTCTGCAAATGAAATATTAAATGTAATTGTTGGAGAGGAACATCACACAAACCAGATTAACAGAGGGATTGTCATTGTGGACTAGAGTGCAGACAAAACTAAAAACCTTTAAATAATTAATGACTTTTTAAATGCATTGGAAACAACAAGAGAGCACTAAAATCAAAGCAGCTGACAAACTAACAATTAAGAACTAACAGAAAAGGGTTGTAAAAGTTGATATTCCTAATTTTAAGTGTATCAGCCCACATGAAAAAATACTATAGTAATTTATAGTTTTTGAACCATACTATAGTAAAGTACTTGAATTAATTTGTTGTGGTAATTCTATAGTTGCTGTGGTAATAACAACTATAGTAATATAAACAAATTAATTTACCCAATAGTGTACTAAGTTTATATTTTATATTATACTACAATACACTACAGTTTACTGTAGTAAAAACTAAAGTATACTACACTATTTATTACAGTTTATCAGTTCACTATAGTTAATACTACAGTATGATGTAGCATTCATTAAAAAGTGTTCTAAATACTATAATATATAGAGTATAATACACTTTACTATGGTTCAAAAACACTACAGTATTTACTATAAATTACTATAGTATTTTTTCAAGAAATCACAGTGAAAAAAAAAAAAAAAAAACTAGTTTTTTAAATTTTCTTATGAAAACAAGAGTGGTGCTAGCCATGTAAAACTGATGGCCACAATGTTAGGTTGTTGAATGCTTGCCAGGGCGTTGTTATTCAGCTGCTAAGATGTTCTGAATGGTTGTTAGCAAGTTTCTGTTTGGTTTCTACTGTGCTCCGAGTGGATGTTAACATGTTGCTGGTGGTTGTTAGTGTGTTGCAGGAGTGTTCTGGTTGTTAGCATGTTGCTATGCAGTTTCTAGTGTTCTGAATGTTAATGTGTTACTAGAGTGTTCTGAGTGGTTATTGTTAGCGTGTTGTTCTGCGATTGCTGGACTGTTGTGTGAGGTAGTGTCTTGCTAGTGTGTGGATGTTAGCATGTTGCTAGACTGTTCCGAGTGGTTAGTGTCTTGCTAGTGTGTTCTAGGTGGTTGTTAACATGTTGCTAGTGTGTTTTGAGTGGTTGTTAGCATGTTGCTAGAGTGTTCTGAGTGGTTATTGTTAGCGTGTTGCTAGAGTGTTCTGAGTGGTTATTGTTAGCGTGTTGCTCTACGATTGCTGACTGTTCTGAGAGGTTGTGTCTTATGGATGTTAGCGTATTGCTATGTGATTACTAGATGAATCTGAGTGGTTGTTAGCATGTTGCTATGCAGTTGCTACAGTTAAGGTGGCCATCTGTCCGGTTTTAGGTCGGACAGTCTGTTTTTGATATACAATGTCTGTTTACTGATGCCGGCTTGAGCCAGATGCTCATTTGTTTTCCTTTTAAGATCGCTTTTTATACTTTTTTTATACATCTTCCCTTCCGTGTCAGTCTCTGCCGCTATTTACGAGGGTACCACGACGCATGCATGTGCATTCCTCTGCTCGTAAACAAGGCGCAGCGCATGCAGGTTCTACATCAGAACGCCGGCTCCTGCGTCAGCAGCACCACATGCATGCGTCATGGTACTCTCATGAATGCGCATCGAAGACTGACACGGACGAGAAGAAATTGTTGAATAATGTTGTTATATTTGTTTTCTTTACGCACAAAAAGTATTCTCGTAGCTTCATAAAATTACAGTTGAACCACTGATGTCACATGGACTATTTTACCAATGTCCTTACTAATTAATGACAGAATTTTAATTTTTAGGTGAACTATCCCTTTAAGTGACGTACATTTTAGACACAATATTGTCAGTATGGACTGTTTTGCTTTTTTTTTTTTTTTTGCCAATCATTGCATCTCCGATCAACATGGTGGTGTTTCATTCCTGAATGATTCAGCATTTCTGAACGAATCGGGCGAGTGATTCAATAAGACATTCATTAAATTCGAAACTGCATACTAGTATACTACTTTTACTATTTTAGCATATCTTTCTATGGTACAAAGTGCAAGAGTAGTATACTAGTATGTGGTTCTGAAATTCCTGAATGAATCAGCCGTTTTGAAAGAATCGGTTGAATAAGTGAATCAATAATTCACTGATTAAAAGAGTCAGTTTCAGTTTCATATTTAAAATATCATTTTATAGCATTATTTTCAGTATATTTTATATTTAACACGTTATTTATGCAACTGTAACTGCAGTGTAAATGCAGCTTCTGTGCCACTTCTGCAGTGCATTTTGTTTGATGATGATTTCATTTGATTGGTAATTGCATTTATTGAATAAATATACAGATTTACATGACAAATGATGCATATATTCAATAAGGTTAAGAATTTGCCCTTATAAAGGGTAAAAAAAATGTCCCTGGAAATCAATTTAATTAAAAATAATAAATCAAATCAAATCAATTAAATCAGTTTAATAATTTTTTGTCACTGGTTTAGGAATATTTTTCAGTTTTTATCCTGAAATCCCGCAAAGTGTCCTCCCCAAAACTCTCTTGTTCTTAAAAAAAAAAGTTCAAGAATGTTCAGTGTAGCTGCTCATTATTATCACATTTACTCAATATAATGGCAGTGTAGAGTGTAACTATAATTAGTTGTAAACCTTAAGCATGTGTTACGAAGGTCCTCCAGTAGCTGGCGCTCTTGTCTGCTAACATCAGCCTCCATGGCATCTGGCACCTCTTCATGAACAAAGCGCACAGGGTCCCACCCTGTCATGATGTCAAAGGTGATGACACAGCCGAGCGAGTGGGAGACGATGGACACCTTTCCTTTCTCTGCAAATTCTGGGTTGCGCTCACAAAAGAGCGTGTAGAGTCGGTTCAACTCTTTGGTCAGACCTCGGGTGATCTGAGGATGCAAGTGCAGTGAGCAAGAAATGAACAAGTGTGACACTTTATTTGTGTACTACGAAAGAGTAGGACAGAGTGTGCTTCAGTGTACGAGTGGGACATTTAGTCAAACTTTACATGAGAGAGACTGAGAATAGCTCTGCTCCAAAACCTAGTCAGCTGCCATGCTGTCTACTGCCTACATAGACAGCTGCCTTCTAACTTAGCAGCGTGCATTCTGAATGGAACCTAATAAGTGACAGTTTTGTAACATTGAACACAGGTAGTGATGTAGTGAATAATCAACTGAATGCTGCTAAGCTAAAAATACTCTAATAAGCTCAAATACATAGCACAAACAAGTATTGGTTAAAATAATCTATTTGAAATAATATTAATATTTATACTTTCTGAACTTTATACCCAACATTTCTTGTCCACAAATGACAAAAGACTGCACTTAGAGATACATGTACTTGAGATAATATAATATTAATGAAATAAAAGGCCAATTAAGTGTACTCAAACAGAGAACACTTTCAAGATTATATTTCTTAACACACATAAGCGCACTATTAAAAAGTGCATTTTGTAATAATGTCAAATTAAAACTTTTACTTTAAAGTGCATTGTAAATCATTGTTTTTATATTTTGTTTTGCTTTAAATAAGTCAAATTATTTTTGATATGTTGACTAACATAAAGTACTGGAATATAATTTTACTATGTTATTCAGTATTACACTGAAAACTAATATAGTTAGCATGTAGTAAATTGCAACTTCATCATTAAAATGTGATATTACAAGTACATTTAAATACATGACATACAAGTTTCAATAGAAATGGCATTGAAATAACCATACATACATGTTAACCATATTTGAAAGACATTAGAATTATTATATTACATATAAAGAGGGTCAAAAAAGAACTCTATGGTTCATCTAATTGTATTTAATATAAATTTAAACTATACTTTTTCAATTAATTGCAATTAACATGCAATTAAGTGTCTGGAAAAAAATACATTCAGTTTACATTTAACTATATTCTTTTATAGTATTCTATATTCATAATAACTTTTTTTTAAAGTAATAGATATGCATTTTATAAGCCAGCATAATTATGCATAATTTAAGTACAGCCTTTGCATAAGGAGCATGATGCCTTAAAGGTCCCATATTTTACACCTTTCTGGAGTTTTATTTTAGGTTTTGATGTCCTTAAGAATATATATATTTGCGGTATAAGTACCAAAAACCATCTCAATATATTTTTACAGCTCCTTTCTCAGGAGCTCTGCTGAGAACAGGTCGATTTTGGCCTGTCTAATTAATATTCATGAGCCTCTCTTCTGATCGGCCTGTTGTGTTTTGAGTGACGCATGGCCAGGCCAACCACAGGTAACTAGGGTCAGCCGACATCACAGCGCTAGCTGGAGGCAGCAAAACAAAACGGAAACTGGAGGCGACCCATTCAAACCAGCGCAGATTCGGCTACATAAGGAGCTTAAAATATCATCTTGTTGTGATGTTGGGTGCCAGAATCGACGTAATACAGCCTCAAATTAGAAATTTGATCGCATATCTGCTGCCACTGCCAGACAAAAAACCGACGACAGCTGTGGTTAAACGCGATAAAACGAGCGGACTGGACAGAAACAATCGTCAAAAATGCTCACGTTTGCAGCGCACACTTCTTATCAGAAAAGGTTCAATAAAGTATTGTCTTTTGTTGTTATGGGCACGTCTACAGATTTCTTGCCATGTCTATTTTTCTTGCATCTCACGATTATGTCGTGTATGAAATAATGTCTGCGTGCATGTGTGTAAAACAACAAACTGACGATTTATATATAATCATTTGTAATTGTATATACATTGTTGTGATTAATTGTGGCTGGAACAATAATGTAGCTGTAAAAATAGTTGCCTGCTGAAATTGAAATGTATATACATCTTCATCATGACTAGATAGACACGGTGAGTTTGTCTTTACTATACACGTTAGATGTGATCACCTCATAGTAACAATCCTGTCAGATAGTCCATCCTTTGAGTGAGAGTGTAACGTTACAGGTCAGCCGATCTGGTTTCGTGGTTAAAGTTAACCTTTTCACATGTTTCCGTGTTGTTGTTGCTCAGCAATAGCATGGACGCGATGTTGTCTGGGG